GACCCATCCCGAGTCGTCTTCAAAGCGGGGATAACTGACACTGTTAGGTGGGAGCACAGTTAATGATTCGCGAAATGATTTGGTTGATGATTCACAGATGTCAGGACTTGAGCCCATTGGGTCCAACATGGTGAGGCTAATACTTGACTTCAGTAAGTTGGCCGCTGCTCTGGATACTACCCGGCATCACATGTCAGTCAGCGGAGTGCTTCTTCCCGATAATCACGGTAAGACTCACATCCGTAAATAGAAATAAGATTTTGGATTTGATAACATACACCAGGCGACAGGAGCCCATGGGCTCCTGCCAGGCGACAAGTAACTACTTGAGTTTCCTGCGTCCGGCAAACCGCGTCAAGTCTATTCCTCCAAAACAAGGCGCTGCAACAGGTCTCTTTGGCTTGATATTCAGTTGTGGTTCAAGAAGTGAACCCCTGTTCCTCCCCAAGAAGTGTCTTCTCGATGAGGGCGGGGAGAGGGAGAAGGTGTAACCCCCGGGCCAGCAGATCGCGCTGTATACAATTTCTGTCATTATGGATTCAACTACACCTCTTGAAAATTGAACAGGAAGGATCTCATACAATGTCACTTGACTTACTATTTTGATACAGCATTGGAGGGTTTTCGTGGTTTAATAGTAAGCGTTGAGACTGTATTACCATGGAACACTGACAACGCGAACGAAAAAAACTGACCCTTACCCAAGAAGAACGCCTCTGACCAAGACGCGATAGCGTCCTCGCTTTTATTTTTGAACTGGCGCCTGTTTTAACCTAAGTCCACTGAATTTTTTTCTGCGCTTTTATTATCTAACTTCCTTCTTTATTTCCTTCTCTTCAGATCAGCTATTAACTGTTCTTGACGAAAGCGAAAGATTACTCGGCGAAATTGACTCACTTTCCAAAGACAAACAACAAAAGGTAAGCCCTGGATAATGTTTAGTAGACTTCCTGTGAAACTACCTGTGACCAAGTGTCGTAAAACCGAAACCAAAGTAATCATGACAGGCAAATAGAACAAGTGAGAAGTTACCAGGAGCCAACTGATGAGAACTCAAAGTAAATTTAGCAATCTACATGAAGCGCGGGAAAACGCGAGAGACAAAGTCGCGCTTGGTTTTTAGTTTTGCGTCTGATTGGTTGAGAGGGTGGCAAGAGTTTTCTAGACCAATCACAGAGCATAGATAGATAATTCTAGGATAACTTTAAACACTCCAGTATGACTTACTTTCTAAAAAAGCTTTTGATCTTTTTCCATCACTGCCATCGTGGCAAAGGGGAAACCCGTGAAAATCTAATGTCTAAGTTCTGTTAGATCCATCTCGAACTCTTAACTCTCAGCATCTAATTCTAATTCTTTCTCGTAGCTACAGTTCTTTTTTATTTTAAATCTGTTAATGTTACACAAACTTGACGTCCTACAGTGTTATTTTTGTATGTAGTTTCTAAAAACATTTATTTTATTCCGTTAGAAAGCATTTAATGGTTATTTATTAGCTTAAAAATGTCCCCCTTTTCTTTCGGCTTGAAAACAGATTGAGTCGTTTGCCAAAGAGATGGAGGGGTTGTCCAAAACTGTAGACTCCCAAATTCAAGAACAAAACAGGTAATATATTTATTTTTCTTATAGAGGATGGACTTACTACTTAGGTTCATTAACAGATAGGATATCTTTTATCTAATCAATTCGGTACGTGCACGGGTCATAAGGAAATTAAATTAAAGCGTTTGCCTTTTTCCTCGGATTGGTCTCTAAGATATCACGCAGTGTAATACTGATTTTGCCCGTCAGTAATATGACAATCAGTAAGTTTGTTATGTACAACTCAGCCTATGTACATTTCCTGGTAAAGGCCAAGGCTGAGAAACAGTTCATAATCTCTTGAAGCCCATTTTCTTTTGCTTCCAACATTGTAACTAGTTTTTTCTAGAACTGGGCAGTGAAATTTGTTCAAAAGAGTGGAAGATTGCAATTTTCTCCTCGTGCTTCGACAAATGGGGAACACTTTGCAGAAACGAAAGTAATTAGGCGTATAGGAAATATAATTTTATTATTCACGTTGTTTATCAATTATAGTATTAATTTTTTTCAACATTTTTCTGCAAGGTGTGGTGAATTGCTGGCTGCTGCGTCAACGCTCAGCACTCAAGAGCGTAGTCTTCAAGCGCAATCCATCATGGCTGGGTTATAGACATGTTCATTTGGTTTCGTCTCCTTCTGGGTATCGAACGTTTTGGAGATGACAAGTTGAACAGCTTGCCAAGCCAAGTAAACAGAGACTGAGGTGGTTGACACAATAATAAAGTAATGGAGTCTAATGAACAGAATATGGTCTCTCTCTTAATCTGCTTCATGACTGTAACGGTTCTCAAGAGAAGAGAGAGAGACGATTGAGAATTCTTCTAAGTTCAAACTCTGATTCCTAGTTGAGGACATTCGTGGTTACCATAGCTCGCTATACAAATCCACGCCAAAATTTCGTTGTTAGGAGAGAATATTTCGCTGAGAAAAAACGCGTTTTCACGTGTTGTACACCTGTGTACACCTGTTGTTTTTATTGATAACGCCTTTCCGGCACAAAGCTGTCTACTAGGGATCTTTCCTTGTACTTGCTGTATTTCGAAAGAACTCTGAATCTCTCTAAAGAAACAGTTTAGACAATTGATTATTTTGCAAACTGTCTAGCATGCAGATATAAACATATCATCTTAAATACTGTTCGTCGTAGTCGTAGTTTGGAAGACCCTCAAGCAATCGTCATAATTGTTTTCATCGAGGATTTCCGCAGCAGCTAGAAAAGAAAGTTATTTGTGGAAGCCTTGCTCCTCTATTACTTGTTCTTGTCAGTGTGACTCTGGTTTTTGACAGATCTATCATATTTGTAATAAATACTGATAATTCAAAGACATTTGTAATATTTTCCTAGTCTTTTTTATTTAGTGCAGTCTCAATATCTTGAACTGAGGGTGCATCTCTGGGAGTGACCTTGTGTAGCAGTACCACTGTAATGTAACCCTAGAGCTGATCTTGCACTCAGAATATTTGGACTCGGGCCGGAACCTGGAGTGTAGACTTGTATCAGTGTAGTACTATAATTTTTATCCTTGATATATTTGAATAAGGCCTTGTCGCTGGGCGAAGAATTTTGTGTGTCTCGGAATATGTTTAAACGGTTTTATCAGAGTTGTGTAAACCTCTATTCAAGCAGATAGGAAATTTTTCTGTCTTGGTATTGCCTCATCTAAAGAGGAGATAGGGTTGGGAGAAGTCCTGAAGTTCAGCAAACCCGAGAAATTGTCGAGGGTTAGTATTAGTTGTGCGAATTCTTCCAGCCTACCAGATGCTTAGAACAGGCCATGTAGACACGAAAAAGTGTATCCTTGCTAATATGATCGAATATTTCTCAAATAACTCACCATTCTTAAGCGTCATAATCGTGTTTTCGTTCAAGGTGAGGAGGAATATTTCAATTTAGACAAAATTCTACTAAAAAGCTTTAAAGAGCAGATTTAACATGTATTTTTGTGCTGCACCGTGCATACACTGGTCATAGTCAGCAGTATTTTAACAGTAAAAGAGGAATGAGACACTTCTACTTCCCATGTCGTACTTATTGCGTTACCGCCGCTTCTGTTCCACGCTTTGCGCGAGATGGCTGCTGTTCGGAGCCTAGAATGAAAGGAGTTTTTAAGAACGATTTCCCTCGTTCTTTATTACTTGAGATGGTGGTTCGAGATTTACATATAAAATCAGTCATCGTACTTTTTTAAGAGACACGAACTACGAACTACCCCAATATCAGTATGGATATTCTCAATACTGTTCTCTCTACATTGATTTCTAAGGTGCTGAGGAGAACAATTTAAAAACCAAATGCATCTCTAGTTGGTTATCATTTCTTTCATTCTTGTAACCTTAACATTTGATTCATAAGCGTTATTGTGAGGAGAAATTATATGCTGGTCACTCTTGAGGTTTAAAGGATTAGGACTACATGCACATGTCAAGAAAATAAAAAGTTGGTTTCATTTCCTTTGCGTTTCGCAGGAAAAGGTGAAAGTCTGGACTAATAATTGAAATAAAAAAAATCAGTCTAACTTGTTAACCAAAACGAACCCTTTAATTTTTGGTCTAAGCATTTCGCGAGTGCAGAATCTCAAGGACATAATGCCTATTGTCCAGTGGCGAAGCTTATAAAGGATTTTGGGCGGCCACTATTTTCTGACGTAACTTGGACAATGTTAGGCTGAAAAATATGACGTACTTGCTCGTTTGGATGGGGAAACCAGCCATTTCTTTCTTAGTAACGGGTCTCCGATACCAGGCACCTTTTTGGCACTATTGTACACCACCTTGATAATTTTATATTTTGAAGCGTGCCGGGAATTGTGTGCTTTTTCTACCGAAGAGGATTTTTTTCTTCCTTAATTCGTTGATTCTGATAAAATATGTTTCATTTTGGTCATTTAGTATATTTAAGTTGTGTCGCAAATCAGAAGCCGGATGTTGCCGCGCGAACAACTTAGACACCCACGAGTTGAAATATGCGTTGAGTCTGATCAATACACGAAATTCTGCAATGACAAATGAAATTATGAATTGTTTCCTTCGTCTTCACTTTGCCAGCGGTATACATTGGTGTAATGGTAAGGTAAGTTCAAACTAGTGAGGATTCTAGTGGACTTTGACTTTATTACTTTATTTCTTTCTTAAACGGGGAGGTTAGCCGTGGCTGGGAAGGTGCGTTTTAGGAATTTTTTTTATTATTTTCTTAACTCACACTGTTTAAAAAACTTAGTTTTTTGCAAAATTATTTATTTTTTTAACCTCTCCTTGGTGGCTGATTGTGCGCTCGCATGTTAAGGAAACATTCGAGGTCGCGCGCGAAACGTGTGTTTGTCCGCGCGCGAAACTTGTGTTTGTCCGCGCGCGAAACGTGTGTTTGTCCGCGCGCTCTGACCATTGTCACGTGGTGAATGTTGACGTAAGCATACCGTCGCCATTTTGTAGGCTGGAGGAATCAAAATATCAGGGGATTTTCTTTCTTTTGAACGTTACCTTCAGTAGAACCAACCAGTTTGATCGCACCTCAAGTAAATAACTATTTGAAGATTTTTCTTTGTTAGATTTAGTCCATATAAAGGGTTTATTATCCTCTTACTACTTCAGATAGTTCTACCGGCTCAAGTCCTGTGTACTAACCCATGTACAAGTGAGTATATTCTGTTCACTGAGTTTTAAACGGTTCGAATAGCAAGTGACATTTGAACAAGGGTACACTTTGAACCGGAAACCTTGCTTTTAAGGTTAATCTGAGTACCTTAATAAAAGACTCTACAGCTGAAGAAAGAATGGTATGGCGCTGTGAAGAAAATAAAATGGCGCTTGTGGATAGTGATGGAACTTTCGTCCTCACGAAATGATATTCTGCGGTTGTTGTTTGGGTCAACTCTTGTCTGAAGAATTGAGGGTGTTACTCTGATGTCTTCCACACTAGAGGAGATTGATGGAAATTCTAACATCACGATCGATCTTGACGAAAAGGAATTGGATTCAAAATGCAGCGAGGAGGAAGTGCTTGTTAATGGTGATGGATGTGAAGACGATACAAATTTGAATGGCGATACAAGCGATAATCGGGATGAAAGCCATAATGTCAAGGCTCACAACTCGTTGTCTCCTTTAAATGGAATTACAAGCGGAGGAGATCAAGAGGTAAACTTTATTTTAGCAGAATATGAGCACACGAAAGGCGAACTTTCTAAATTGCAGACGGATTACAGATTGTCTTTGGAACGTGAGAAGAGTTTGTGTGAAAAACTGAAAGATTATCATGCAAAAGAGGACTCAAGTAGTGAAGACTTGAGCACGATAAACGAAGACTTGAGGAAAAATTTAGACGCAGTTCTTGAGGAGTTAATATCCTCAAAGGACGAGCTTAAAAGGTAGGTTCATGTTATAAAATTTGTAGACTGAAAATGTCACGTTAGCAATACGTGGGGCCACACTTCCATAGTAGGGTTGTGTTTTTTCTCTGTTTGTAGACATGCTTCTAATGTTAATGTCTCCTTGCCTTAGGGTGATATTGTTTCATCCCCTTTATTTAATTGAAAACAACAAGCTACGCAAAACATAATTAAATCTATGTTCTTTGCTTTTAAAATTCCTCTTAATTCATTTCTTGGTCTGATTTCTTGCTGATTGGGTTTGTAAGGAAGTGAAGATGTCTCCAACTTTTTTAGCTCAGACAGAAGTCGTAATATCGGCAAACCCATTGGCCTGCTTGCTTCAAAGAATCTTGGTCCAAAATTGAGAGTTGATCACATTGTTTGATCCAGAACATGATTTTGCTTACAAATGATCACGAATCAAATTACAAAGCATAAAACAGTATTTTGTTTGTGTTTGCCATGCACCTGCTGTACATTGGGTTACTTGATTATGTAATGACAAAGACCTGCTATATCTTGCTTCACCAGTCTCAAGATCAAAACATCGCATCAATACATGCTCACTTCTTTCAACCAGTAATACTAATTGAAAGCAAATTATGAAGCTGGAAGAATTTGTTTTGTAGCCTATTCAACAATTTTGAGTTCATTTTGGTAATTTTCTTTTAAATACTACATAATATCTTAAGTTTTTTTATAAAGAACAAACACTTTGATTGATCTAATTGTGATTTTTAATAAAGAATAAGGCCATGATGCCAGTTGTAATATATGGAAATATAATTTTTTTTAGATGTGTTTTGTCTTTGTCATTATTTCCAAGAAAAATGACAAGATCTCATAAATTGTAATAGCTAGAGGTTGATTGTTGCTGAATTTTGTAGTAGATAATGTTATTAGTATGTTCTTTTATCCCAAAGGCTAAATTTGATCCCATTCTATTATTTTCATCCCGAGTAGTTTCTGAAAAATCAAACAATTCAGTGAACAGTGGTGAACAGCTGAAATTTTTATTGCTGCACTTTGAATGATATTCAGTTTAATCTAATTGTAAGTGGCAGTTTTTTTTCTCATGAACTGTGATGCTTTGCTCTAACAATTTTAATTGAAATAGTTGTAATCATAAAAAATAACTGGCAAGGAATTGATCTGTTTGGAAAGTGTAGAAGATAAAGAATTGTCTTCTGTATCAGAAACATTTCGGTTTAATCAGAATTGCAGATTGTAGGTAAGAGTAGCTGTCAAGTAATGATTTTGGTGTTTCTTTGTTCAACCATTTAGAGTTAAGGATAAGAATGATCAACTGGAGAAAGAACAGAGTAATCTAAATGCAGAAGTATCTAGGTTACAAGTTAGTGGAAATGAGGAAAGTGAAACACTTAGAAAGGCTAATCAGGAATTGGAACAAAAACTTCAAGAAAAGACTGAAGAGTTTGATGCTTCAAAAGAGAAACTCCATGCTCATGATCAGGCTGCAAAGAGAGCTATTGCAGCTTTGCAAAAAGAAATGGCTCTTAGAGTTGATCAGGTTAGTTGAAAAAAGGAATGACTATGTTAGTTCTCTGTATTCAATATACATATCTGAAGGTTGAATTAATCAATAAGACATAACTTTTCTGTGACTCTGAGTTTCATGCTTATGCCATCATCAGACAGATCATTATCTGTCTGATGATTGCATAAGCATGAAACTCAGAGTCACAGAAAAGTTCAGTCTTATTGATTCATTCAACCTTCAGATATACCATGCTCTGTGAATGCATTGAGCACTATACCGCAAGAATAGACCATAATCAAGATAAATATATATCAGTATTACAATAAATGTTGTAATGAATGAGTCGCCAGTAATCAGATTCTTGTGTTTGTGCAAAGATTTCTGGGATTGCCACAGGGCAAACATTGCAACCTATTAGAATCAAATATATGGCAAAAGGTTATTTCAATGTTCAAAAAGTGATTTTGGATAGAGATCAGTGCTTTTTCACAACTGTTTTATCAGAAATGAATTTGGGTAATGTTGGTGAAAGGCTGGCATTTATTTAGTTTTTGTTTGAACAAATGTGAAATCTACCAATTATTTTTTCTCCATACACAAGGTTTATTGTGAAATTGACATCGCATAATGGTCCCAAAATTTAGAAATATTAGTTATAAATCATTAAGAAATAACGTAATAAAGCCTTTTCAGTTTTATTTATGTGGGTTTAGTCTACATTGCTACTTTGTTATGAGCAATGAGAATGAACCAGTGTTGAACATCAGCTCAAAAATGAACCCTGTCTTCTGTGATGATGGGTAGGTACAAATGGCTTAAGGAGGGATGCACAACTGAATATATGTCCACAGTTTCTGCTGGAGTTCCCATGATCTTACTTTTCCTGAAAAGGTCTTCCTAGAAGTTTGAGGAGAAAAGTGGCTGCTCAAAAACTTTTGGATTTTTCTTAAACAAACTATCACTTGAATGCAGAGAACTAACATGGTCACTTACTCACTTGTTTGAAGGCGGGCTTATTCAACTGAATACAGTGTATCCAAACTTTCATTTAAAGAGAAACAAAGATAAATGAGATAAAAGAAAATGACTTAAGAAATCTTGGGACTGGGAAACCACCTCTGATTTCAGAAAATTTTGCAAGTCACTGAACTTTCAATTTCAAACTTTAATTCATAGCAGGATGCCTTACTACTATCTTATACCATGTTTTAGGTGACAAAGATGTATGAGGATGTACTCAAGGATAAAGATAATATGGGAACTAAATTAATTCAAGGAGAGGAAGAAAAGAAGAAACTGGCTAGAGAGAATGAACTACTGGCAAGAAAAGTTTCTGAAAATACAAAGGTTGGCATGATGTTACTTTCCAAAGTTTATGTACATGTTTGTTTAGGTTCTTTTGTTGCCATGTACCCCCTGACCTTGCAAAATTTGCATACCTTTTCCTGGATTGCTCATCTAACAGTTCTATCCCAATTCTTTACAAAGGAAATAGAGAAGTTCCGCCAGAAACTGAAGACAATGCAGACAGATCATGCTAAGTTACAGACAGCATATGATGACAGGGTAAACAGTTAGTGCTCTAAGTCTGTCGACTGTTGTAGTTGTAATGCTATGCCTGCTGTTTAGTTTGCATTAAGTATCACATGATGTCAATGATAATATACTGGACCTTTTTTTGAGTTCCTGCTATGAACTGCTGGCAAGAAAAGTTTCTGAAAATACAAAGGTTGGCATGATGTTACTTTCCAAAGATTATTGCTTGGGTTCTTCTAAATGTGTAGCTCTTCTAAGAGTGTAGTTCTTCTAAGTGTGTAGCTCGGTCAGAAGGAAGAGTTTTCCATCAGAACTCTAAGTTACCTTACAGTCTTTGATGGTCTTCTATGGTTCCAAATTTAGGTAAGATTTATTTTTGACTCTCTAGTATAGTTTTCTGGCTGATCCATGCTCTAGGACAAGCGGACCTTAAAAGTTGGAATGTGTTAGACAGATGGTTTTTTCTCAACATCAGTTTCCTCGCACCCCTCTCCAACCTAAAAGATGTCAGTTACAATACTGATGCATCTAAGTCTTCCATATACAACTCCTTTTCCTTTACAGGGAAAGGAACTAAATGCTATTTTGAGGGAATCAGACAAGCTTACAGAGGAAGTGAATTCACAAGCAGTGAAAGTCAAGTGGGCACAGAACAAACTTAAAACAGAATTAGAGACACATAAGGTAAATAAACCAGTCTTATTCCTTTTCACTGTGCATGGATGCTAGAGTTCATCCAGTTTCTGCAATGTCAAGAGATATCTTGAGGGAGTATTGTTATTCCAGTTCAAATTACTCTCCAGCATTTTGACAAGTTTGATAAGTATTTAGATAAGTAAGTAAATTAATAAGCACTTATGGAACACTGAGGTGATGGAAGCTGGCTAAATATGTCAGAGTAGCTGGCTGTTTTGCTCGTCTCTCAACTCTTTTTCGATATCTCTGAGATTCTGCTGAAAATTAATTCACAAGTACCCATTAACACTCCCACTGCTGTAGTTATATGTAGGAGTGGCAACACAATTATGCCAATCCAGGCTTTGATGGTGACCTTTCGATCTGGAGTCCAACCCAATAACTATTGGGTCACTGCATCTCCCAGTATCCGTTGTTATGTACATGTAGAAATCATCCATGTTTGTGACATCAAATGCTTGTTCTCTCACATAGCATTACATAGCTGATGGCATTTTCATTTTTCTGCCTCCCCCTTTATTGAGTGTTGTGTACTCTGTCCACATGGTTTGAAGGAGTGCTAAGAACATTTTGCAAAAGGCTGGTTGAAAGTGTTTTTTAGACACTACTGTAGTGTTAATAGAGAAACATATATCCTTATATTTAGTGTGTTTTTGCTGTTTATTAGGAAACAAAAGCCAAACTTGCACAAGTAACACAGAAACTCAAAGAATCCAGAGAGGAAGGTCTTCAGATCAGGGCTGACTGTCAGGCTATGATAAAACAGTATCAGGTGAGATTTCCCTAATAACTTGTGTGTTACAAATGTTAAAAAAAAGAGTTTGGTTAGCTGCAGTAATTTAGGGGATGAAATAAAGGACCACCAAATGTTCTGAGAACAACCAATTCCCAAAAAAACTAGGGGATAGTGTATTTAACATTGGCCTCTTAAATCAGTAAATGCATGGCCTGTTGTTCATGTTCTTATTGGTCATATGTAAAAATATTGACCCGTTAAACTTGTTCATATTATTTAGCATTATTTAACTTCTCCTTACAGTATAGTACATTAGCTAGTAGACAGTTGCGAGAATTTATAAGCTTTTCAGCTAATGGGTTTCTTTTTTGGTACAACACCAAATTCCCTAAACCTGTTTGCCAGGAAATGTACAGCAACTAGAAGTGAGAACCAGATCCCAAACACCAATAGATTTGTCATAGGTGACAGCAACATGTGTTATTGTTTATCTCAAGGAATCAGAAGAAATGAGATCAAATTCTTTGGACAGCAAACTCAAAGCAAAAGAAGTTGAACTCAAAAGGCATGAGCAAGAAATTGCAGACCAGGATGAGGTATGAAAAAAATAATTATTTTATAACTGGATATGCTCCATTATTTTGTACCAGTAATATGCAGTACCTCAATGTCCAACAACATTATTTGTTTAGGTCTAAGTATCTAAACAGCACTTTTTACTCTACCATATTCTGATACTGAAGGTTCACAAAATGAAAGTCCAGGAATTAGAGACATGGAAAGAGCAGTGCAAGAAAAGTAAAGAAGAAGCAAAGGTCATCAAAGAAAAGGTACAGTTCCAATCAGCTATTGTCAAAGTTTGATTTTATAAAATAATCCAACAGAGAACACAAAATTTGTGGAATTGAATAGTGTGTTCATGTTCAAGTTTTTCCCATTTGTCTGAAGAGAAGTTTGAGATAGCCATATGAGGCTGCCTTGTATTGCCAACTAGTAAACCTTTGACTAGTAAGGATAATAGTGGCAAAATTATGTTTAAAAATGTGGATGAAAATGTGGTTAATACAAAAGTAAAGACATGGCATAAAGCAGTCTTGAATATAGCTAGAAGACAAAATAGCAAAATTAGCCAAGACTTTGGCTGTAGTGGTGAAATGTTCCATGTAAAAGAGTGGAAATGTAGCAAGGATAAGAAATTTATAAAATGAATGAAAAAGAGAGGCATTTCACACAGGAAAAGTAAAGCAAGTGGGTAGCGACACAGAGTTTCAAAGGTATCTTGAGTTAGGAGTGGAGTACACTCCTTTGGTTCATTTTTTAAGCTCTAAGAGACTTGATGGCAAACAGCATTAACTTTGCAAAAGTACCATGAGTGAACAAGACTGTTACCTCCAGATGAAGCATAGATATTTCATTAAACAATTCACACATGCTTCTTCCTAAGAGCCATGAATATTCTTCCCAAAATTACAAATTTACTAAATGTAAAATTAAGTTTAGTTTCTCTAAACAGTCTTATCAAAAAAACATTTCTTCAGAGAAATAAATGAGAAATAAACACTCTATTGGAAATGATGTTTTCCTGCAGATAAGTGAGTTAGAGGAAAAAATCACACAGTATGCACTTAAGGTGGCAGAACATGAAAAGAGTGCCCTAATGAATATAAAGGAGCAGCAGAATCTTAAGAAAGAGCTTGAAGAGTGTCAACTGTACAAGGCAAAGTATGAGAGGTTAGTGCTAACGTATATATTGTTAGTAAGTTAAGTTTGAAGTAATAAATTTGAACCCAAACCTCTATACTCTACTTTGCTCCTGGCCTTTTAACCCTTTAACTCTCATGAATGACCAAGAAAGAATTTCTCCCTACAATATCATGCAGTTGAGTATTGAGAATAAAGAGAAATATCAATTAGGGGATTACCAGTTGATCCACCACCAAATTCCCTGAAACAACATCACAAGAATTGTATGGCAATCAGTGAGGATAATTACTAATGAGATCTTTAGAGCGAAAGGGTTAAATTAAGGTTAATTGTTCTGGCTCTCTCTTATCTCTAGTTCTGAATGAAATTTTTATTTTACAAAAATGTTGCATTCCTTGCAACAACATTACAGCAAAGCATCCAAAAATGTAGAGTAAACCAAGTAATGAATTTAACCACAATTCAGTGAATTGAATTGATTCTTAGCTGAAATGTGATGGTTGAATGCTGAGACTGTTACAGCTTCCTCACAATTTGTTGGTATCCAAAGATGAGTGCAAGTAATAACCATTGATACATAAAGTTGTGCACTAATTTTTACATTTATACGTATTATTTTCTAAACAGTGAAGTAGAGATGGTGAAGCAATTAACATCTGTGGAGAGTGAACAGAAGAAGACAATTGCTGACTTGGAAGCTGACATTTTAGCTTGTCATACCAAAGAATCAGAACTATTAGCATTCTCAGAGAAAATGACTGCTAAAAATGCTGAGCTTCAATCTACAATCAGTGGCACCTTATCTAAGGTATTCATCAGACACTTTTGATCTTCTTGTCAATTCTGTTGTTCTCATTGCTGGTGCTTCTATTGCCACTATGATTTTTGTGGTTCTGTAGCTGGTGGCAATCTTGTTAAATTATGATGATTGCTGTGGCCAGTCAGGTGTTTCACTCTCTCTGAGGCTGTCTCTTTGTGCAGAAAGGGTTCACTGAAAACCAAATGAACAATTGTTGTTTGCTTCTTAGTCTTTGTTTTGTATTTTCTGCCATGTAGTCTTTGGTCCAAAAAGCAGCCAGCTTCCTTAATTATCACCCATGTTAAAGTGCATGTGTCTTAGTTATAAACTGATACAAATTAGTTTTCTAAAGTTTGAACTTCAAATGGCCCACAATCATTATGTTTGGATGCAAAATGAAGAAACTTGGTTTTCAACATGGAATCAAGTCTTGCAATATTAGTCTTCCTTAGAAAAATATTGTAAAACCCTTTTTTTTAAAAACCACCATAATGATTCTTACAAAGTGACAACTTACCAAATGTGCCTTCATCAGATGTAAGTGATCAGTACTTCTGATGAGGGTCAGAGTTTTGGCTCAGAACTCTGAATTTTTTACATTAATTTATAATTTAAATGTCATGTACATTGACTTTGAATATTATGTGAACTGCAGAGTAAGAAATGAATAGAAGGGTGATCAGTAAGGAACACAACTTAAGCAGTAGTGAAAATAACACCCAAAAAAAAAAATCAGGCCTGTACAAGATTTGAACCCATGGCCTCTGTGATACTGGTACAGTGCTCAATGTCATGTACATTGTTAACCAAAGTGAAGTATTTATTTGTCATTGAGTTATAAAATTGTAAAAAAGCTGAAGATGAGTAAACAGAGTTACTAACTCTGACCAAACAGGACAGGTCAAGCCATCAAAGAGACGTTTTTTATTCAGTTTACGCAAATAGTTTAATTAGTAAGCCTTGACTTGATGTTCTGGTCCCTATTTGTTTTAGCTGTAGTTCAAACATATTGAATGTGGACCACTGGCCAGAAGAGTGTGATTTCAATTATTCAATGATAGGGGTCACCCTCAGGAATCCTTAGAATCAGTCTTATCTAAATTCTTTGAGTGGTTCTCCCTTCTGATTTATTTCAAGAAGTTAATATGGGTTTCATGAGTTATTAGATGTTGTTTTTTCATGGGAGATGTTGTGGGTTTTGGTTTATACTTAACTTTAAATTGATATTTTAGTTTGTTAATCCAAAGCAGTCTAAAGCTAGAATCTTCAATATTTTTTAAGTCTGATCTTTGCCTTTGTTTTTTTGCTGAGTGAGAGTAATAACGTTTTTTTAACCGTGCATTTAGCTTGATGCCATTCTTCTTGACAAATCGAAATTGGAAGAACAGTTTGAGGAAGTGGATAAGACAAGAAAGGCACTGGTAGGTCTTGAAGTTTATGTGCTCAGATATTTTCATTTTGTGAAAAATTTTCTCATCAATTACTGGCAGATAGAATTGTAAATTGTGCTATTGAATATTGCACTATATAAGTATTAAATTATTGAATATTAAACTATCCTTTTTTGTCAGGAATTGTATACCCATCTTTCTTTTGTCTATTTAGGAAGAAGAATTGAAGGAGAAGACCTTGGAATATGAAAGTGAAATTGGATCTCTGAAAGGTCGTTTGGAAGAGAAATCAAAAGCTGGTAAGAGCAAGTCATAAGGAGACATTTAATTTGTGTAAAACAAACAACAGTTTGACTAATAAAAAAAGATGAGTAAAATAAATAAAATAACGATCGTTAATACTTGCTTGAATAAGTATGAACTAAAAAAAGAGATTAATCCAAATGTTTTAATGGTTGGTTTAGATTCCAATTCTCCCATTTAACTCACATGGCCTCTTATATATTAGTATTGATTTGGTTTTTCTTGGGTTACTTCAAAGTACCACTATTTCCTTCTTGTGCTTCCTTGTATATTTTAATTCAAATAACTCACAAATCTGTATACACTCTTGGCTTACTTCAAATCACTGGTTTTTAGCTGTTTATGTGCACTTGAGAAAAAACAGATTAATTTTGTTGCAGATTATATTAGTTTAACTTTAATCGCCATCTTTGTTTCTTTGAACGGAAATTTATTGCAAAACTTTAAGTCTAATTCATTATTGACGAGTACACTGACACTTTCAAAACAAGAGGAACGAGAAGTGGTTTCTTTCATCTCTCTCTTTGTCCGCACCCAGCTTTGCTTTCCTTCTGTGGCCAGGGAAAAAGAGTGACCATGCAAATTTTCTAGACACTTGTTTTGTCTCACTTCAGTGTCAGACCTTGCTGCCTCTTTAGAGGAATCAAAAGATGAACTTCAGGTGGCGAAGAGAAAAAACACAGCCCTTATAAAGGTTAGTGTCAGTTCAAAGCCTTCAGCATTGTTATTTATTCATAGTTCAAAGGGGGGAACAAGGCAGGGAGGTTTGTTCAATTCTTGACAAAAAAAAGTTTGAAATTATATCTGCTTGATAGGATGTTTGACAGCGTAAAAAATAAAAGCAATAATGATTGTTTTAATTGTATGAAATACTGTTAAAGAGGGCTAGCAGTAGTAAGTTTCATGCGAGATAAAGTAACTTTCATTTGAATGCTTAAAGTAATCCGCCAATCATAAGTAAAATTTAAGCAAATGTTAACCTGCTGTTAATGGAGTAAATGAAGAAACAGGGGTTCTGTTATGTATAGTGTATAAGCTTGTTTCATAATCTTGCAGGATCTAACTAGACAGTTGCAACAATCAAGAAAGTGAGTATGAAGCACATTTCAACAATGATCAGCTTAATTCAGACAAGGTTTTTTTTGTTGCTGGAGATGAAAGAGAATCCATTTAATTTACTTACTTTTCCGCCCGTGATTGGCTTCTGAGATCATTAGGGAACTGAGCGACATCTTATGAAAAGCGTTTGTTGAGAGGGTAGTCTTAGTCTCTGGTTGAGAGTAGTCATGAAAAGGACTGTTGTAATTGGCAGTCATTAATGTTTCACCCTGCCTCGGATGATGATTATTCCACCTAGTAGGTGAAATAATCATCATCCGAGGCAGGGTCAAGCGAGAACACGTTTTTCCACGTGCCCACATCCACGTTTCTTAGATTTTTTCAAGGAAAAAATGTTGTTGCTGCTAAGAACTTAAGGACCGCAACGTGATCAAAACAATCTTTTTTTCGAAAATTTTATTTTGTGCTTTACTAATCCTTTTTTTTTTTTTAGACAAGTAGAGAAGCTAGAATCGAATAATCTGGAATCCAAGGAAAATCTGAGTGAGGAATCAAAATCTTCATCCACCAATTCTCTGGATAAAATAGGCAGCACCTGTACAACTCCCACATCACTTTCATCTCCTACCTCGGGCACCTGTACCACCGATGGAGGGGTGAGTTTTGTTGTGATAACGTCTCATAGTCTGCTGGCTCTGAACTGCCGAAGTTTACCTGCATTTGTCACCATAAATCAAAAACTAGCCTTGCCTCCTTGCCCCTTTCCCCTCCCCCTCAGTGGATGAGATACCAGTCCATCACATTAGAAGTTAAATTTGACTTCAAAACCGCCTCATAAGTACTGACTCTGCAACGAAGTTAGTGATAGAGTGTTTTTTGAGACCTTTTTGCGCTAAATAAATGACACAAACAATAGAAATGGAATTCTAGAAGTGATATATGAACTGACACTTGATTTGTTTTACCGTGATAGTGGGTTGTAGTCAATGGATCCCAGTCATCGGTAGACCGGGTAAGGCTCGTGTTTTGTTTTTGCGTTTGTTTTCATTGTTTTCTTCCAGTTTCTGCCTATTTGTTTTATGCTAACAAGCTAGTGTGGATTTATTCTTAGGCTTCACTGGATGTGTCCAATGGTGACAATGTACAGATTTTAGGGCAGAAGGAGCTCCGCACAAACTCAGAGCTTGAGCCCAACAAAGCAGTACTTGTGGAACGTATCTGTAGACTGCAGAAGATCCACGCTAAAAAGAACGAGAAGCTAGAGTTCATGGAAGGACATGTGGCAGCCCTGGTTGAAGAGATTCAAAAGAAAAGCAAGTGAGTGACTACATCATCCCAGAAACGTCCATACATGTCCATACTCAAAACTCTGTCTCGTCTGAAGTGTAAACTAGCGAATTAAAGTTACACCGTTTATTTAGTCTGAGTAGATGTTGCGACTGAGTGGATGTTTCTAGTTTTTCATCGACTGGTTTATTTCTGTCGACTGGTCTGTTTATCTGCAGAATTATTCACTACTATGTGCTCCGAGAACAAGCCGGAACACTTGCGCCACCTACGTCAGATCTGCATAAGGTTAGTCACTTTGCTTCAGGTTACATTCTGTCTATCGATTTATTGAACATTTCTTTTAATGGTACTTGTCTTAGGTTAAGTGTTTGATGTGGTGCAGCAAGTGCTCTCCACAATTCATACGGAGTTTTCGTTTTTTCAAATAACTACTGAAATTAAGTTCTTACCTATTGAGTGGCTTAAAAGTGGAACAAAAATGAGCCCAACGACCAACCGATTATGAATAAACCAAGTAGCAAAAAAAGAAATTCGAAGTGAATAAATATAAATTATCCCAAGCGAAGGAAAACCTGATTGAACAAGTGGTGATTGGTCCAATTTCAGTCTTCAGTGCAAGGAACAGAATTTTAAGACCAATTACATAAGAAAAAAGAAACAATAAAATTCGGAATTCCTTTCGATGGCGATTTGAAAAACTTCATAAACATGTTCAGACTTATCAATAACTGTGAAATTTCAATGATGGTTTATTGGATAGCCTGAAATGATCGAGTGAACAAGGCTAAACATAAAGAGATATTCAGAAAGATCGAGTATTAAAAAGCAAAGTATCATTGACTAAACAATCCTACTTAATCCAGCTATATTACAATATGAACAATTATCTCGAAAAAGCAACCACAGAATAACGTGTTCATATTTGAATTTTTTTTTACCAATCTGTCAATAAGGACATATGTAAGGTAACTGTAAAACAAAAATAAAAGTGTGTTATATTTATTGATTGGGAGATATGCGCGCCCAATTGATATCTTCTTAGTCTTGCAATGAATGAGAAAATATTTGGAAACTTAAATAGCTAAGGATGTTCTCTTTCCGTAACGCTTGGCGATTCCTTCACTGCTACCATTCGCAGTTAAGGTGTAGTGAATTTTGCACTTGCTGGTATCAAAAAACAAACAGGGTACTGTCAAGACAGCTGAAAAAGGAGCTTTCTGCCTAGCGGAGGGTTTTGCTACTGTGTTTAATGAAGTGTTTATGACGCACGACTGATACATCACACTAAACACATGTTTTCTCTCTCCCACTGTCTCTCTTACGAAAGGATGACAAGGACGGATCCTGTAAGCGCCCCTCCTCCCCATTCCTCGCGCGGAATAACTCACAGGTGCCTCTGTCCCTTCTCTCATAACAAAGCTAGGACTATCTTGTTTGAAACTGTGTGAAATTGAAGTTTATTTCAGTGATTCTTGGCCGTAGATTGCGCTGCGCTATTGAATAACTTCGAGGTTTGTCCCGTCCAAGATATTAAGCTTTATAGAACCCTGTCACAGATACCAACTCGGTTGACGACTAACTTAAAAACTCTCCACTTGAACTGAGGTAAACTTAACCAGACTAAACTTAACTAAACGTAGTTCATCAGATAAAGATACGAAATGATTAAACATCGTTCTTTTCCCTCCTCTCAATCATCACTAATCCTCACATAAAAATGTGAAAATAATTAAATAAGCTCTTAAACTGTAATTATTTTTTTCGAAGTTGAACATTTTTTTTACCGAAGTTGTCCTATAGTGCAACAACAATTTCGCTTGGTTAGGGTTTCACTCTTTCCAGTTTAACGATGTTTATTTCTTGTTTTGACATTCCTGAGATTTACAAGTTCAGCTGAACCACCTTTTCGTGGTGGTAGATTATTTATTTTCTTGCTCTTTTGTCTTTAGGCCCAAGTGTCTCGTCACGGCGGAATCATGGCCTCTGTTTACTCGTCCAAAGCCGTCGACCCAGACATGACTCTAGAACTGTCTCTCGAAATCAACAAGAAACTTCAAGCAGTACTAGAGGACACAATTCTCAAAAACATTACTCTAAAAGTAAGTAAAGTATAGTCAAATGAAACAATCTATAAGAATTATTCGATCGTCTCGCGCTAATGTACTGCTTGCAGTCCTTATATATGTCCCGAGCTGTTTTAGCGTTTCCTCTGTTTGGTTGACAGGACGGTGCGAGTTTTGTAGACCAATTTGCATACTGCAGTGAGGCATAACCAATATTCGGTCTGGTGTGACCAACATTTCTTCAAAGAGTGGTGCCCTTTGACGCAAAAAATATGCGAAATTTTGCGTCTTCAGTTCTACTTCAGTACAAAAGTGTTTGCACGAGGCCTTGCCTTGACGTCTGCTCGCAAGCTTTGTCGAGGTTGACAAGAACAACGCTTCTTGAGAACCTGGAATATGATTACCGCGCATTATGCATACATCTAACAATAACTGATGGGATCAATGTTAGTCAAAGCAACTATGAACTTACACCCCCTCCCCGACCCAACAACAGTCAACTGATAAAAAGGTTGATAATCTGGTTTATCAACTGAGTTGATAACGTAAATTAGCCACCGTAAAGAGTTTCAAAACAGACGTTTCGAGAGTTTCGAGATACTGACGTAACAACCCGATTAAAGAGAATTCTAAACGTGAGCAAGATACTAACATAACAATCCAATGAAAGAGAATTCCAAAAGTACGCAAGATACTGACCTAACAATCCGATGACATAGAATTCTGAACTTGCGCAAGATACTTACACAACAATCCAATGAAAGAGAATTCTTGAAGTGCGCGAAAGACTGACGTAACAATCCTATGAAAGAAAATTCTAAAAGTGCGCAAGATAGTAACTTAACGATCCAATAAAAGAGAATTCTGTACCAAATTATCTTGTTACACTCTACCACCGACGCAGCACTACAGTTTCTATAGAAACTTGCCCTCTCTATTCATTTGATAACAAGGTAGGCTAGCGTTAGCTTAGAGGAGGGTTACGTGCACGGTTGCTCAGATACCAACGTCGATCCAACTGATGCATTCGTTTCCAAACTCTCTTTCTCCAGGAAAACCTTGACACCCTGGGAGACGAGATAACAAGACTTAATGAAGAACTGCAAAAGATAAGGAGAAGTAAAAGAACTTGATGTGGCGAAACGCTAAATGAAGAATGATGGACTGGAACCCAACAGGAGATCTTGTATCATCAGATCTGCTTTTAAGCGTTATTCATAATTATTGGATTTATCTGAATTTATATCTGGCTGATTACGGGAAGGAAACTTTTATGAAACACTTTCGTTACGCTCCAGTAGAGTCCACGCTAGGACTGCGTAAAATGCGTCACATGTCACCAGAAAGCTTTAAATACCAAAAAAATAAGAATTATAAGGTTGGAATTGAAATTATATTTATGGTATTCGAATAGAAAAAGAAAACTTAACGGTGTGGTGTGTGGTCGAGACGTATTAGAAGAAAAAGCAGTGCAAGCAAGAGGATAATCTCGGCCAAAAAGTGACTTACACTTTGTTATGTTAGATTCAGTAAAATTAATTTTTTGTTTATTTTAATGTAAGACTAACATAAAATCAGCATCCAAAAAGATTATGAAAGGAAAAGAAGTTCATAGTATTTTTATCTTTCTTGTCGGAAGATAGCGAAGTTATTTTGTCTCTAGAGGTGTAGGAGCGTCTGTAACAAATAGGGCAGCTTTCATATTGGCACCCATCCATTAACGTTAGAACTTTTAATGTCTGACCTTTTGTTTTTTGTTTTGTTTATGTTTAGAAAGTCACATCGTAGGGAGGTAAATTATCACGCACTTCCCCCTTCACACTCTGCTTAAATATGGGTCATGGGTATGTTAAAGTTGATGTAAATGGAAACGTCCAGGAAATTATAATTGATCAAAAAAGTTATAAATTACATTGTTTAATTAACAGGTTAGAATGTGTATAATATGTATATAAAGGCTTTGCGAATTAAAAATGTCTCTGTTCATTTGTGTTTTCTTCCGATGTAACCCAATTGGGGAAAAATTTGACATGGCTCTTGCAGTGTTCCACATTGTGGTCTCTCCGATAAACCTTGAATTTTTCCATTTATTTTCTTCCCTCAGATTCCTTTTCGTTGAGTTCGTACCTTCCTAAAGAAAGTTAAAGTTATTTTTACCTTGTTGCCAGGAAACTAGCACCTATGAATTTATTTTCTTTTATTGTTGGTGCCACCGCGGCCGATATAACGATCTTTAGCTTGATTTATTACATGCTCTGTTAGTTGCCATTAGACTCTTGGATGTGTGACACGTTGCCGATTTCCCGATTACCCTTCATTCTAATGTCGAGAGGTCCTCCATGGCAAAATCCAGTCCCGCTCGGACGAACGAAGTGCGCAAGATACTACCGTAACAATCTAATGAAAGAGAATTCTAAACTTACGTAAGATAATAGCGTAACAATCCGACGAAAGAGAACTGTTAACTTGCGCAAGATTAGTAACAATAATCCGATGAAAGAGAATTCTAAAAGTGCTCTTGATACTAACGTAACGATCCGATGTAAGAGAATTCTAAACTTGCGCAGGATGCTAACGTAACAATCCAATGAAAGAGAATTCTAAACGTGCGCAGGATGGTAAGGTAACAATCCAATGAAAGAGAATTCTAAAAGTGCGCGAGATACTAACGTAACAATCCAATGAGAGAGAATTCTAAACTTGCGCAAAATGCTAACATAATCCAATGAAGGAGAATTCTGAAAGTGCGCGAGATACTAACGTAACAATCCAATGAAAGAGAATTCTGAACTTGCGCAAGATACTAATGTCACAATCCAATTACAGTTGATTCTTAAAGTGCGCGAGATTCTAACGCAACAATCCAATGAAAGAGAATGCTACACTTTTGCAAGATACTAAAGTAACCATCGAATCTAAGAAAATATTAAAACTGCGTGAGAAAGTAACGTTAACCGTCAAAGGTCCTGAAAATTAACCATCGATCGTCAAAAGACGTTAAGAAACTCTTGCAACGTCTTCCAGCGGTTTCAATTACAACTATAGTTCCAGTCTCCACGCGGTTTTAGCCTATTTAAGTAGTTTTCGCGCTTAATTAGTTAATTTTTCCAAAATGTCTCTATGCTGATTTATTCCCGAGTTTTCGTTTTGAGCATGTATCCATTAACAACAGTAAGGTACGTTCTTGTTGTCCTCTCTCCGTTCACTGCTCATTTACTTTGTTTTTTAACATTGTAAATTACTGCTTCTCGATATCTTTCAGAAACCACTGGTAAAGTATGCTGATAATCTACCGATGCGTTCGTTACAATTTCTGACCGAGGATTACGCTGTTGGTCGTCTATTTGCCCGTTTCCTGGTCGTATCATTTCAACGGATTGACAAATAAACTGGTAAGAGACCGATGAATCTGATCATGCTGAAAAGAATGGACAGTTAAGTTCACACCTCGACATCGAAGGTGTCAATTACGAACAAATGTTTTCTCTCAAGAGAAGAAATGCGGGTTTTTGTGATGTACGAACCGTTTTCTCAAAGAAGTTGAATTATTGCTGCAAAATCCTGAAAAAGGTCTCGAAAGGTTCGCTCGAAAGAAAGGACGTTGAAGCTGCTTAAAATCACAGGAAGAATTTTGTTAACTCTCTGTCCAGCCTTAAGCAAAACAAAAATATGATCAACAGAAAGGAGCTTAATGAACGTTAACACAAATTTAAGCCATGTTGAGAGAAATTATGCAAGATCAGAACTAAATCCTGGAGCAGAACCATGGAATTGAGGTCTCCCACCGTGCGCGGCTGGAACAGACCGTGTTACACTTGAGCTACAAAGTCTACTTAGCAATAAGAAGATCAATAAGAAACCTCTGCAAGTATTAGCACATTCCTTTCTGCTAATGCTTGAAACTCCTAAGAGAGAACTGATGACCATTGATGGAAATCCATTGCATTAAATTTCTGGTGGTTTATCAATGAAACTATGAGGAGTCTTAGTGTACGAATTCTTAGAAAATCCACGATCTTAGTGGTTGGCGTCACGCATTCTGAGATAGTTTATCGTTCAAGTGTTATGAGGTAGAGCTGAATAACGAAATATCACGTCGCAGGAATGCGGTCAACAACGCGGGATCAAGCGCGCAAGGCTTAAAATTCAGCGAAATTTTCTGAAAAAGCCTATATCTGTGTTTTTAGGGAGGAAATTAATTTTGGAAAATATTCAGGGGGTACAAAGGTTTTTGGAAGTTGCTCTTTAAAGGAAAAGCAGCAACAGGAACAACGCGTCGAAGCACTAGAATGCAAACGAACTTCCCGCGCCACCTTCGCGCATGCGCAAATCTTTAGCTTGTGTTACAGAATGGCGGAACAGTTGACAGAAAAAAACAGGGATAAACATCTACATTTACGCCATCTGATTAATCATGGAAGGCTTATCCTTTTTGCCGAAGGAGTACTATATATATGAAGGGTTTTGATGATCGTAAGGAAGCATGTATTGGCTGGCTTGAAACCATAACACTTACGCCTTTGCATCGTTTTGTCTAGAGTGACATCTACAGCTTCTTTTGCACAGAGGTCTCGTGATTTCCTTCAACTCACTTGGCTAGACGGAATAAGAGGAAGTTAGAAATGTCTGTACGTACTGTGGAACTTCATTAGGTAAGTTTGACCAAACCTAGTAAAGAATAATTTGTTGGACGATGATGAGTGATTAGGGAAATGGTATGTAGCGACCTCGCCACTAGGCTAGGAAGACTCGCCACTAAGGTGCATGACCCTGCCACCGAGAACTAAAGAGTAGTTTACTTAACCGAGTATTTAGAAGTCGAAATATGAAAGCTAAGTTTCACTAGCTTGAGCTGACGCGTCATTCTAAAATACTGAATCAAACCGACTTGCGTAGTCAAACCAACAACTTGTCTTTATGTTAACATGTTGCCTCGTAAGTATTTTGATAAGATACGTGGCTAACAATGGGTTAAGGGATATTATTAAACATAAACAAAGTAACATGACTTCATTAGTTCAAATGATAGTATTTACAACTGCACTGAACACACTATTCATCCTAAGGGAACGGGGTCAAGTCCAAAAGCAATTACCCATTACTCAATGTAAAGGATGGTGAAGACTTATTCACATATTATTATTTGGTACTTTTTATGTTTTGGGTCAAGAATAAATGCTTTGTTGTGGAGCACTTTTTTTTTTCTGTATGTTGGCATCTGACCTTGGTTTTGAAGAGGATGGAAGGATGTTGATGATGATGATGATGGGTTTAGTTGCTCATTTGAGAGCCTGAGTGTTGCAATATGTCTTTCCAGTTCATTGGTCACATTTTTTGAAGTGAACCATAGCCTTCCTTACTCTTTATGGTCACTGAAATCAGTGTTCCACTGACACAAGTCATGTACTTGACTAATTTTACTTATGGCTTCTGCAAGATTTCAGAGCATTAAGTCACCATATGTCACCATTAATCATGAAAGGGAATCAAAATTAGACAATAAAATCCCACTACAAATGGAAAGGAGGATCTTAAGAGGCATGAAATTGGCAAATATTTTGAGTTATCAAATGTTCTCTTCAAATGACTCCATTCTTTCTATGCTTTGCCATTATTTGGGTCAGTTTCAAGAAATTCTGGACATAGTACTTTATCCATTGCTTGGTTGACAAATTGTTGTAATATAAAGACAACGTTGACCTTTCAAACGTAAGGTTTTATTGATTAATCTTTTACTAATGCATGATACACAAAAAAAGGTGGATAATTACACTAAGTCAGCAATACAAATGCAGCTCAGAGCAATTCAATACCATACTTTATTTAACGTAGAACATGCACTCAGGTATTTGGCTTAGCTTTGGCTTTCAAAGACTGCACAAGCTACTTCACAAGCATGCCACAAGGACATATAAAATAAATGGGCGAGTTGATAAAGAAATAGATGAAATAATAGATAGATATGATTATTAATCAGAGAATAGATATAAAACTATTTACTGTAGAATAGATATAAAACTATTTACAGTATAAGTAAAACTGTCTACAATAGAAATAAAACCATTTACAATTTGAAATAAAGTCATATGTGAATAAAAACCTCAACAAGAAAAGAGAAATTCATGGATATTTAGGACTCAAATGATATCAGCTAAACTATTCCAACGCTTGGGTGCCTTATGCCAGGACTTAAGTTTGAACCTACTCTGGCATTGTTATTGTTCTTTCCTCTTAAGGTATATGTTATTTCTATTGGTGATATTAACTCACACAGACTTCAGATTTGTGTTGTGACTTACAACGAATTGTATCATACCTTGTTTTTTGCGAGGTTTGTTTGCAACTCCTTATTTACACTCTTTATAGCGGAGTTCATTCTGTCCTTTATATGGACATCAGTGGAATTGTTTTTATTTAGCATCATGATACAAGAATTAATGAGGATTGTAACAAAAGTCCTCAGGATTTGCGAGGCTACTGTGGTATATTTTTTTGTCCTGCAAGAAATCAAGCAAAATCCTGTGTAGTTCAGGAGTTGTTCATTCTGCTGTTGATATTCATCTCTTCTTCTGCGGTACTGAGGTGCAGCTGAGCCACCATCTTCATTAGTCTAACAAATTTTGTTAAAAACATATATCTTGCGGCTGCTGCACCTTCTCCTCAAGAAGCTGAATTTCTTCATCTTTATCGAGCTTCAACTGTTTGCAGGAGATCTTGATGCAGCAAGGAGTTGGTGATGGACCTTTAATTTTTTATCCATTCTTTCAGATAAGTTACTTTGTTTCTGACAGCAATCTTCAGCACACTGTCGGAAGCCAGGTCTGCAAACTTTTCCTGTGTGTAACCTTCAAATTAGAGAAAAAATAGACAACATTTTTTAGTCAAAAGTAAAATCATGGAATTATTGGAACAAAAGACAAGAACAGAATACATTTATTTTGAAGTTAATAGTTTCCTTGAGATATCATAACCATATAACATCAAACAATTTAAGTTGTTTTTAGGGGATGGCAATAGGGCTTTTTGCTTGAAGTAAAATGCAAGCTTAATTTTACTGTACAAGTAGAAGATGGGAAATGTGGTAAATATATGGTACCAAACTATTGTCACTAAATATCAGCTCAACATGTGGTAATTTTCCTTCACTTAAACAACAATAATTAATGTAAATTCAGATGAGAAGTTAATTGATCATTGAATGGAAGAGTTTTTATAAGCTGTGTTCCTTTTAAATTCACCTATACATTTTGTGGCAACTGGTTAGATCAATCACCAAAAAGCATTGGGGACAATAACTGAATCAGCCCAGAACTATGAATCAAAACTTTCATCTACCTATTGATATATTTTGCATTTGTATTCTCTGATCGACGACCTTGCAAAAATAGTTTTCAGTTTGGTGTGACTGCTTTGGGGAAAATGGTTTGCCCTCAAGGATTGGCTGAACTGCAAATCACATGAAGCAAACCATTTTCCCTAAAGGACAACATTCAATTTCTGTGGTGTTATCCAAGTGAAGTGAACTTCATTGAAAATGGGTGGTCCTTTCAGCTACGAGGCTGCTGTTATAGCACTCCTCATAGTAGAGCTTTTTATAGAGGCTGCTGCTAAATACATATGCAGAACTGGATCTATATTACAAGATAGGAACTGTTTAAACATTAGTACTTTGTAAAATTCTGTGCAAAATCGTGTTTCATCACTTGTTGCTTAAAAGCCTTCAAAGATGCTGCCCATTTGTATGTTTTGGGTAACAAGTTAAATAAAATCGCTTCAGGGTATCTAAAAGTTCACTTCCCAAGGCTTAGTTTGGGTCCTGAAGGATAAATGTCTTCATGCCTTCATGTATTGTAACTACAGAAACTGTTGTTTCTTCTACAATAAACAGAAAATCCAGCCAAATTTTTCTAGATAAAAGAATAACAAGTGGGTTAGCAAACACTTCAATTGGTTCGTGGAGAAAATGTGCTTGTAATCTGAATGTGTGATCAAAAACTGTTTAAGTTCTGGATCAAAGGTTAATTTTCTGGCTTAAACTACTCCACCTTAAACCATTAATCACAAATTAATTATTAATCAAATGTCAATCAATGTGTTAACTTGAACGGGAACGACTATTGTTATTTAGTCAACAACCATTCTCTGTCCCAAAAGGGGGTAGTCCATATCTTAATGATTTCAGTCTCAATCATCTCTTGCTGGTGGGTAAATGACAGAGGTGTTCATGATTGGTCTACTATATTCTCCTGTTGACCTCTTGACTTTCACATTACGACACAACCATCTGGTCCTAGATAAACTTCTGTGACTCTGCACCATTCACCACAGACCACATTGGTATCTGCTACCACCAAGGATGTCACTGATTCTTACACTGAGGCATTCAGTTTTCCATTGCTTTCTAGGTATGAGTGATGGGAACACATCCCTACTCCATCACTTCTAGAACGAGTCAATGATTTTTTAAATGATCTCTAGGTACCTTGTGGCATGAATTCTTTTCCTTGAATGGTCCATGGGGAACTTCTGACGAGGCATGTCCAAGAAGTATCTCATTTGGGCATAAGTAGCTGCCATTGTGTGAGTCATTTGGACTCCTTTGATGGGTCTTTGGTTCATCAGATTGAGTACCTCGAGGAAGACCACATATAGCTCAAATGTTGTGAGTAATGGCTAACAATGGCTTTCTTCAGGGTGCTTTTGTAGGTGTTAACAAGGGCTTCAGCACAAGCAATCTGATGTGGAGCAGCTGGTGCAATAAACTTCCACTGCATTCCTCTCTCTCCACAGAACTTTAACTTCTTCCTGGTTTAGGATGTTTATCATCTGATGCAGCTTCTTCTCAGCACCCACAAACTCTGAACTATTGTTGCACAACATTACTGTAGGCTGACCTCATAAAGCAAAAAACCTTTGTATGATTTGGAGAATTCCTGAAATGTTTACTGCCATCTCCGAATGGACAGCTGCTGTGTTCAGGCATGTAAGCGAGACTCCATAGTGCTTAGCAGTGTTATTTCTTGCTATCTTGACATTATAAGGGGCTATGCAATGGGTACAACAAAACCCACACTTGTACTTTATGGACTTGCTCTGTTTGCTTCCTTTGAGTATCCAGAACTTTGTCTTTACTGTCGTAGCTGCAACATCACTATGACTGTGCTGATGGGCATGACTTGTTATTAGTAAGAATATCCAATGATCACTTGGGAGGAGAGTGATATGTTTTGTTTCATGGGAGACAATGGCTTCATCGACTCTTCCCCTGATCTTGATTACACCCTTGTTGTGCTACAAATTGGACTTAAAATCCAGTCTTGCTGAGGGCAAACCATCTTCCTTAAAGCACAACATTCAATTTCTCTAGTCCTATCTAGCCAAATTGCTTTCCAATTAAAGAATGATAAGTGTGTCAGCATATGGTTCCATAGGTAAGCAAAGAAAATGTGTTTGTAAACCGAAAATGTGGTCAAAAACTGTCTAATTTTTAAACTTATGATAAAATGATCATCATGCCAAGCATACTCTAACCAACATAAAGTTATACAATGCAATATGCATAACATGGTTGTCCATGAAGGATACACGCTACTGTGTTGATGCGAGCACTGATCCTTTAGTACTCGTGCAAGGAGACCAAAATGTGTAAATT